GGGTTGTTAACCAATGTCATAAAACAACATGTGTACTACTGTGTCATGAGAAACTATTTGTTCTGTAAGCCTTCACCTGAAGTACAATAAAATATTAAAAAAAAAGAAAATGCCATGGCTTGGATCAGGCCCACTTTAGTCATCAAAGTAACATCTTTAGTTTTTAGCACTTTGAAGAGGTCTTTTCCAGCAGATTTGCTCAATGCAATACAGCAGTTGATTTCTTGACTGCTGCTTCCATGGGCATTGATTATGGATGGATCCAAGAAGAATGAAATCCTTGACAACTTCGGTTTCTTCACCATTTATCATGATTTTGTTTATCGGTCCATTTGTAAAAATGTTCATTTCCTTTATGTTCAGGTGTAATCCATAATGAAAGCTGTAGTCTTTTACCTAAATCATCTTAACTTTTGGCAAGCAATTTTGCCTATCTGCATATCTCAGATGGTTAATTAGTCTTCCTCCAATCCTGATGCCACGTTCTTCATCATATAGTCCAACTTTTCAGATTATTTGTTCAGCATATAGATTGAATAAATAAGGTGAAAAATACAACCCTGCCTCACAACTCTTCAAATTTTAAATGACACAGTGTCTCAGTGTACTGTTCAAAGACTGTCTCTTGATTCATGTGCAGATTCTGCATGAGCACAATTAAGTGTTCCGGAATTCACATTCTTCATAATGTTATCCATAATTTTTATGATCCACACAGTCGACTGCCTGCACATAGTTGATAAAACACAGGTAAACATCTTTCTGTTATTCTCTGCTTTTGACCAAGATCCAGCCGACATCAGCAATGATATCCTTTATTTCTTGTCCTCTTCTGAATCTGGCTTGAACTTCTGGCAATTCCCCGTCAATGTATGGCTATAGCCGTTTTTAAATTATCTTTAGCAAAATTTTGCTAGCATGGGATACTAATTATGTTGTTCAATAATTTACACATTCTATTTGGTTGCCTTTCTTCGGAATGGGCACAAATATGGATCTCTTTCAGTCGATTGGCCAGGTAGATGTCTTCCTAACGTACTTGATTTTGATTTTTATTACTTAACAATTAAAGAAAACAAATTTTATATAATCTTAATGTTACTTGCTTTTGGGGCTTGAAGTACAAGTAACACTTAGCCTCATGGAAACCCGATGATATATTTTTACCCAAGAAACTTCAGATTTCAGTAAGTGGCCCATTCTTTTGCATCACAACATTAATGGGGAAGTGAGCTTACACAGATCTCACGCTGAACTGAAACCCAGTGTAACAAGGCTTTTTGAAAAGGACTCTAGGGCTTGTAAACTGTAGCAAGTTCTTTTTTATTTCCCTTCCATTTGTCAGCCTAGAGCTTCTTCCATTTGTTTCCAAGTAGACTGAGCTCTGTATCAATGTGGTTGAAGTCTCCCTGTGGAGTCTTTCAGGAGAGCTATCCCAATCACTATGCATTTCTGTAGAGAAGTGGCAGTATCTCCTGGGATGGTGTTATGGATTGAATTGAGTCCCTCTAAAATATGTGTTGTAGATCCTAACCTCTATGCCTGTGGTTAGAATCTCTTTTGGGAATGGGTAGTCTTTGTTATGTTAAAGAGACAGGATTAGTGTAGGGTGTGTTTTGAGTCAATCTCTTCTGAGATATGAAAGAGATCAAACAAGCAACGAGAGAAGTAGAGATGGGAGCAGAGAGATGCCAAGCCACATGAACAGTTCTTAGGAGCAGAGCCTCGGAAAAGACCAAGGACCTTCCCCCAGAATCAACAAAGACAGAAAGCCTTCCCTTAGGGTTGGAACCCTGAATTCAGATATCTAGCCTCCTAATCTGTGAGGAAATAAATTTCTGTTTGTTAAAGTCACCTACTTGTATATTTCTGTTATAGCAGCACTAGATAACTAAGTCAGAACGTGGTACTGGAAAAGTGGGGTACTGCTTTAACAGATACCTAAAATGTGGAAGCAGTTTTGGAATTGGGTAGTGGATAGAACCCTGGTGGCACAGTGGTTAAGCATTCAGCTGCACATGAATCAAGAGGCAATCTTTGAACAGTACACTGGGATACTGCATCATCTAAAATTGCAAAAGTTGTGAGGCAAGGTTGTATTCTTTCACCTTACTTATTCAGTCTATATGCTGAACAATAATCTGGAAAGTTGGACTATATAAAGAAGAATGCAGCATCAGGGTTGGAGGAAGATTCATTAACCATCTGAGATATGCAGATAGGCAACCCTGATTGCCAAAAGTAAAGATGATTTAGGTAAAAGACTACAGCCTTCATTATGGATTACACCTGAACATAAAACACAACAAAACAAAATCTGTTGCCATCGAGTCAATTCCGACTCATGGCAACCCTATAGAACAGAGTAGAACTGCCCCATAGGGTTTCCAAGCTGTGCTTGGTGGATTTGAACTGCCAGCCTTTTGGTTAGCAGCAATAGCTCTCAACCACTACACCACGAGGGTTACTACTTGAACATAAAGGAAACAAAATTTTTTACAACTGGACCAATAAACAACATCATGATAAATGGTGAAGAAATTGAAGTTGTCAAGGATTTCATTCTTCTTGGATCCACAATCAATGCCCATGGAAGCACCAAAAGGTCGGCAGTTCAAATCCACCAGCTGCTCCTTGGAAACCCCATGTGGCAGTTCTACTCTGTCCTACAGTGTCGCTATGAGTCAGAATCGACTCAGTGGCAATGGGTTTTTGTTTTGTTGTTAATAATAAAAGCCTAGATTGCCTTGCAGAGACTGTTGGTAGAATTATAGATCCCTTGAAGAGACTGCTGGTAGAATTATGGACGTCAAAGGTAATTCTGATGAAGGCTCAGAAGGAAGTGAGGAGAGCTATAGAGAAAAGTCTCTATCATGTTAAATAATACATATGGCACCAGAAACAGAATGTTGCTAGAAATGTGGATGTTAAATATGCTTCTGGTGAGGCTTTAAAAGAGAATGAAAGATATGTAATTGGACAATAGAAGAAGAGTGATACTTTTTATACAGTGGCAAAGAACTTGTCTGAATTATATTCAAATATTTGGTGGAAAGTAGAACTTGTGAGTGATGAACTTGAAAATTTAGCTTTCTAAGCAAGATCTTAAAAGATCCGTGTGGTTTCTCCTTGTTGCTTATAGTAAAATGTGAAAGGAAAGAGATGGACTGTGCAAAATGAAAACAAAACTTAAATATTTGGGAAATTCTGTTGTGCAAACTAAGAACATGTGTCCTAGAATTTTCACCAAGGATATGGCTATACAATCTTTTGTTAAAGTAATTAAGCCTGTGACTATGGATCTAACCAACTATCACAGCAGAAACCCATCAGTTTTGCTCTTTAGTTACTATTGGTTTAATGGTATACCAGACACTTTTTATGCCTCTGAACTTTGTAAGTAGTACATTAGTCTAGTTCTAATGCATTTAGCATCAAGTTAGGTCCCTTTTGAAAAGCGTGAAGCTCAGCAGACCAGACTTGGAGCCTCATTGTTGTGTATGTTGAGCATTCTATTAGGTAATGCTTCCTGGATGTGTTAGTTTTGTAAATTTTTGTGAACTTTTGTCCTTTTTTCCTTTATTTCCATAAGATAAGCCTTGCAAGTATAATTATGACTTTCATGTGTAATAGGGAGTCCTGATGGGTTTGTTTTGGTTTTTCTTGTAAAATCAGAGGCTCCCCATGTAACCTAAGGGAAAGACACCTGCAATAAATTCTCTACTTAGTTCTTATTGGTATATTGTCATACTACAGATCGGTGGTGCCAGAGTGTCACTCACCTTATTGGTGGCTTGTATTACCAGATCATATTTCTTAAAATCCATATTACCCACCAAAAATTTAAACACACTCAATTAGTAAGCATGCATTCCAATAGTGAAAGCACATGCCATCAAAAAATTTAATAAAAAAAAAAA